TATTATGCCCAATTAACTGGTTAGATCATCTCCCTGATGTCTATCATGATTCAATTGAGCAACTTGACCTTTTAGCATATCAAACTTTAAGAATTACATCACTACGATAAACTATACTGCCCATTTCATAACCACTTCTATTTTTGTAGAACACAGGAATATTAGTTCATCTCAATGTTTAGGGATAACTCCCCAGTTTGGGATGATATATCATGGTTTCCAATTAATACGTTTAGAGATAGGTTCTGTTAATATATTAGGATCTTGGACTAACATACCAAATACACCCCTTTATCCTATATATAACCCCTGAGCCAATTCTGATCCACATGCTCCTCCTCTTCCATGGACTGAGAGTAGAAGGGACTTGGGTTGAATCCAGCTAATAATGAAAATGCTGAAATAATTGATTGGAGCTCCTATGGCCACCTAGATGGTCGATATAATAATCATTCTGAATGGCATACTTTAAAATGGCATTGGTATCATTCTTTCAGTGGACAATTGAATCATTCAGTCATGCATTCAGGTGCACAGCTACATCTTGTCTGGGTTTAACCCCAAGCTCAACTGAAAATGGGCCAGTATCTGGGGCCTATTCAGAAGTCTTTGTGGAAGATGGGTCTGACCTTTTGCCATGGGCAGCTATGGAAAGGTGGTTTAATACATTTCATAATGCTACTAGTGTATTCTTGACCCTTAATAGCACTACTACCTTCAAGGTATATGTTTATAATTCTTGTTTTTCTTATGGATCTGCCTAATTGGAGACTATCAACCTTACTTGCACTAATTGCATATTAACACATTGTTTATCTCATTACCCTATACATCATATAATTCTTTTTTTTTTTTTATATTGGGTATTGAACTCGGGTCCTTGGGTTTGTGAGGCAGGTGGCAACACCACTGAGCTAAATCCCTGGCCTCTAAATCATATAATTCCAATTTTAGGAAGAATGCCTGGGTATGGATCCCTGTTAATTTAATTGAACCCTGGGCAGATACACCTAGTCTTCATGTTATCCATTCTTTGCCTCATCAACTGATACATAGTAGTGAATGGATAATTGGGCTGTTAATAGAAGGCATTATTTCCTTGGTTTACTAATCTCTAATGCTACTGTTGCCATTGTTTCTTTGACCAATATTAAGCAAATAACACATTGTTAGTAATTGGGCCAGCATGCTGACTGAGCCTGGAGATTGCAATGAACTACTGATGGCTAATTGCAGCCTAAAGTCAGTTTCTAGCTATTGCTGGTTGTACTACTTTAGCCCGTGTTTCATACCTGTTTCAATGAGTTGTTTCCCTTGTATGACTACACTGTGATTATCTGGGGTCAGAATCATCATCATAGTCCAGTACCAAAAGACTGGGTGATGGACAAAATAGATAGAATTTCTCACCTCCAAAAAATTGGAAGGGTCAGATCTTGGGAAAGACATAAAGACCAAAATCCAGCTAAGAAGATATCTCTGAGGAACAGACATTTCCTACAGAAGCCTAGATACAAGTGATAAATCTACCTACCATAAGCAATTTACAAGTATCAAAACAGAAAACAAATTAAAATTTAAAATAAAAAGCAACAAGATGCCAAAGCAAAATGCAACCCCAGACTTCCATCCTACCCAGGACAAGTCCAGGGGACAATGAGACAGAGGAAATAAGAAGCCATCCACCTGAATTTTCTGAAATGATGGCAGCAGAAGTAAAAGAAAAAGAAAAATAGATGAATGAGGATATATAGAAAATCAGATCAGAAATAACATCTCAGATAAAAAAAAAAAGATGACAGTGAAGGACTTGCTCAATGAATCTAGACTAGACAGATTAAAAATAAAATAAAGGAATTTAGGAAAGTTATTGAAACCATGACTGCCCAGTATAGGAAAGAAATGGAATCGATGAATAGATGCAGATATCCAGGGTATTAAAAATTCTATTGAAAGAATATGCTGCTAAGTGAATTAATGTGAGAACAGAATATCAGATCTAGAAGAAAGGATTGTGGCTAGCAATCACAAAAGGAAATATTTCTTAAAAATATCAAGGGTCTATGAAAAATCAGTCCAACAGCTGCAAGATGATGCAAAGGAGAACCATAAATGAAGCATGTAGAACTCCAATTGGACATGACAAAAATACATTTACACCTAGGAAAATAATAGTCAAAAATCTAGAAACTCAGTGCAAGAACATAATATTAAAAGCTGACAGAGAAAAGAAACAAATTCCTTATAAAGGAAAGTTCTATATGCTTCACTTGTCTGTATGCCAAGTTCTTTTTCCATGCTTGGGATATTTTCTACTATTACTTTGGTAAACAAATTTTTTATGTCATTTGTGCTATCTTCTATTTTTTTGTTGACTCTGATCAATCTGACGGGGTTCTTCTTTCTATAAAGGAAAGCCTATCAGAATCACAGCACACTTCTCAAGACAAACACTTAAGTCAAGGAGAGCTTGGAGTGAAGTATTTCAAGTCTTAAAAGAAAACAACCTCTAATTCCACAAAGCTCTCCTTAAAAAATTAATGGAGTAATAAGATACTTCCCTGCCAATGAAGAAAATCTTGACTACCAAACCAGCACTACAAAATACTCCGAAGGATAACGCAGAATGAGGTAAGGAACACTACAATACCAAGAACACAAATAGAAAGAATCCACCAGGCTAGGCAAAAAGATAAACAGAGGGGAAAGACAAGGAAACAACAACAGGAAAATAATATAACACGGGTAAGTCAATACATATCAGTGATACCCACCAATGTTAATGGTCTCAATTCACCAATCAAAGGAAACAGACTATATAGCCCAGGCTGGTCTCGGACTGACAGTGATCCTCCTGCCTCACCCTCCCAAGTCTGGGATTACAGGTGTGAGGCACCATGCCCAGCTCCATATTACTTCAAATATATCCATACATAATCAAATATAGTTGTAGTCCATGTTTTCATTAGTATTGTAGGACCCCAACCGCTGTGTAGGCCCTAGACAGTCTGCATATAACAAAGTACATTCCATTCTACTCTGCTCCCTCCTATCTACAGATAAGATTAGAAGGAAGTGTATGTAAACTTGGTATGAGTAAACAAAGGTAATGTCTTAGGACTTTGATCAAGACAGGGCATCCTGAGTCTGGGGTGACCAACGCAGGATGCCAGACATGTCATAAACCAGACCCCCTAAGGGATAGCAGGAAACTGGCCCCCCTGCCCCCCTTACTGTGCTTACAATCCTCTCCACTAGTCTTCACAAAGGGACTCCATGCTAATAGGCCAGACTGTGCTTCTTCATATGCTAATTGCTACCTTGGTTAACAGCCCGCCCAGGGGCAAATGGTTTGACAAAAGGTGACCCTAGAACATTTCCTGCATAAAATAAGCAATGTGTTTGCAGTCTTGTTCTGTGAATTCACTGACTCTTTGTTTAGAAAAACCTTATAAAAAGTACCTCAGCCCCTGAGCAGTTGCCTCTCTGAGCCACCTGGCTCTGGGAGTGCCATCTGGCCAGACTAATAAAGCTCTTTACCATCTAGCCTGGTGTGTTCCTTCCTGGGTTTCTCGTTCTCCGTCGAGCTCCCGGAGCCTCGCTGGGTGTTGGGCCCAGCATTGTGGAGGCCTTTTTGGCTGTTCACGCTCCGTGGAGTGGAAGTGAGACTTCAGGTCTTACGGTATAGATTACCACAAATACAAGGCAACATGTGTAGGCCTCTTGTTTTATTCTTTCTCTACAATACTCTATTACATAGCCCAAGCTCTCTGAAGTCTGGCCACTATGAAACATGCTTCCTTGAGAGTAATCTTGTGGATGTTCTTGTGTTGTCTGAACAGTAGTACCCTGTATTTTGCTTCTGTCCGTGAGTTCTGTTGCTTCTGGAGCACTCCCTTGCGATGCAGATAACAACAGCACAGAAGACGGACTTCTGAATTGTTCTAATCTATGTCTGTGATGAGACATACTGAAAACATACAGGGCTGAGAACAATGTGTAAAACACTATCATCCATTTTTCACACCGCTGTCCAGAAGACCGTAACCACCATCGCATCTGCAAGATGGTGCCTGTGTATTGACAATGTTCACACTTGTGTGCAGACGGAAGCAATTGTACTGTTCCTGACAAGGTATGTGGTGTCCTGTGGCACTTTTTTTAAAGCAATCTCTGGAATGCAGAAGGGCATCTGGAGGTTGCACTCTCTGAATAACCTGTTCTTGCTATAATTCCTGTCTTCAGACTTAGTAATTATAGTTGCATCACCTTGACGTCGGCCCCAGGACTTGACTTCACTTTCTCCTGTCTCTGACATGATACTCCTTTGACCTGACAAACATTATCATAAGGTTTCCCATCAGAAGCACGGAGAGGACTGAAGTTGTTTTGAGAGCAGTCAGTGTCATGCGCGTGCACACACACACACAACACACACACACACACACCAGTCACCCTCAGCATCTTCATCACGTTCTGCCCCAAACTGGCAGATATAACAGGTAGGTGTCTCCTTTCGACTGGTTTCTCCAAAGCCCTCATGGGCTCCATCTCCAGATCCTGGCTGTGACTCTGTGGCACAGGAGCCTTCCAAAACCACAAGCGTCTCACTCCTCTGTTTGTAAGCGCCTGTCACAGGTAGCTGTTGCCACTGGATCCGCACACAGGCACACAGGCACTGTTACACTGGAGCTGACAGTTGCAAGTCACAATGCCTCCAATTCTTAAATAGTCCCCCCCGAATTTACAGATGTTAGTGATTCAGAGTAAGACACCATTATCTCTGTCATAATAACCAGAGCAGTTCCAGGTGCTGTGCGTTTGTGAGTCACTTGGGGAGGGAGAGAAAGCAGCGCGCTTACCCCGCCAGGCTAGGAGGAGGCCGCAATACCGGCGGCAGCAGCCAGCAGGCGGCGACCGAGGAGCGCAGAA